GGGGCTCTTGGAATATTTCACCAGCCAATTTAATGACCTTATGGAGCAGCATCAGGGGCTGGTGAGTTTTAATGCTGGTTCTAAATGTGACTTGTCAACCTTCAACTTCCCTATTTGGGGGAAGGGGTGATGAGCAAAGCAGATGACATCCCTGTAACTAGCATTTCTGAAACCATTTGCAGCATCTCAGGAGGTGAAAGATTACAGAACAGTAGGGCTGCAATTCCCATGGTGGTACTCACTACCTAGCTTACAACCACAGCGGTTGCAAGGAAGGCAGTAGCAGTCTTTGCACACTTACCCTTTTGGATTTCAGCCCTTTCTGAACCAAAGCTCATGCTGGGAAGCAGGGTTGTCCCCCCAAATGTATGGGCACAGAGCTGCTGGCATGTGATGGTGGCACTCGAACTGGCTGGAAGGATGCTGGCAGGTGGTTGAGCTGAAATACCCCGAATTTGGCTGCATGCTAATAAGGCATGCAAAGGATTGGGAACTTTAATGTATTAAAGTAGGATCTCTGCTGTAAGAATTTCTATCTTCCCTTAGCATGTCCTTGTTTTGAGCTCTACTTCCCTTTTTAAATTGAGACAAACCTTGCTTCATGTCAGAGTTGGCTGCAGTCAGGTCTGCTGTGAACACAGGCGGGGAAATGTTATGTGTTTAGAGGTGAAAGCTGCCTTTAATATTTCACTAGCTTCAATAATTCATCCTGAGACAACAGCCCTGGCCTGCTGCGCATGACTCATGCACAGACCTCTGCACCTCCACCTACCCAGTCAGCTCTGTGCTAGTGAGACCTCTTGCATGTCTCATCTCGAGAAGATGCCTCTTCTGTGAATTGTAGGGGCAAAGTGCTGTGAAATGAGATATAAGGCTTCATGCAGTTTGAATGCTGTCAATCCTACATTTTTGCCAAGTGTGTAGGACTAAAGAAGCCTTATTCAGAGATCAGAGCCAGCATGCACAGTGATCATTTCTAACAGTGTATGGAAGCTGCAGTAGATTTTCAGGAAGTGGGTGTGAGAATACACTTAATACCGAAAATTCCTCTTACAAAATGCTGCTTCTGATGTCTTTATCTTTCTGCTTCTGCATATTCTTTGGAGGTTTGTCCAGGCCAATTATGCCTGACTTCCCTGTGTGCATCAAATATACATATTCTGCGTGGGAAGTAGGAGCTAAAGAGAGCCGGAAAAAGCCAGTATCTTCATCTGCGCAGCAGCAGCGCTTTCATGCCCTAGCAATTCTTCAGAGATGCAATCTGCTTCATTAAAGAAAGAAAATAATCATCCATTGGCATGAGGAGGTCTGTGTGCCAGGCTTAGAAGAGAGCTGGCTGTATCTAGTGCTGCTATTGAGCTACTTATTTTGAGGTCTTTTGATCCAAAGCAGCAGGACTGCCTGTGAAGGGAGCAGCTCTCTGAAGCATCAAAAGTCCATGTCAGGTGTACCAGACCACTTCTCTAGCCTGCTTTTTTTTTTTCTTCTTCCCAAATACTCTCAAGAGGTGGAATGTTGTTTAAGTATTTGTTTAGAAGCCTGTGTAGTCCACTCATATAGGACAGGGCTTCATTCCCTTTTTTATAATGTTGCTGGTTGTCTTGCTTGTTTTGTTTAGGCTCACAAAAATAAAGAATTAAAGTCTCAAAAAAAAAAAAAAAAAGCTGTGGAGTCTGAGGGGGGAACTGGAGACCATATTCAGCATGATCTTGCTATTTAAAAATAATTTCTAAATGTCTCATGAATATATAGACTTGAACAGAAGTAACTAATTTCCTATTGGTGTGGAAAAGGAGGCAATGTTGAAGCATGGCTGGATGAGGATACATGTCAACATTCAAAAAATGCATAAAATATAGCTCTTTAACTATGTTCTGGTGGTTTGCTATGGCGTGGGTTGGGAGTGACAGACGTTAATTTTGTTAATGCCTTTTGGGAAGAGGAGTGGTAATATGATTAAAAGCAGGAACGGGATTTATAGAACCAAAGTATTTTATTGTCACTGGTCACACTGGAAAATGAATTCATCTATCTTGCTATCATCAGCTTGACTTGCGTGCTTGACTTCAACTGATGGAGATGTGTGCCAAAAGTGTCAGATCTTATGGGTGTAGTGATACTTTGGCTGTTGCAGCTAAGGATGCTGACAGATGCCAACAAAAACGTCAGTGCATTTGGAGACCGTATTATCTGCCCACCTTAGAAATCCATGTTTTGGGCTTGTGTCAAACTCTAGAGTAACGCAGCAAAATTGAGCTGCACTGTGTCTGGGAGCAGTGGCCCCAGTTCCCTGAGCATCTTCTATGAGATTCAAACTCTCTCTGAGTCCTCATCATGGGGCCAGGTAACATCCTTGGTCTGTGCATCCATGTGGCATCAGCTGTAGCATTTTGGATTTTGATGCCCGAGAGCTGGAGGGTTAACTCTGTGAGGGTTAACTCAAGTTGCAAGGCGCTGCCTAATTTTTACAGATGCTGTGAGCACAAGAGCTAAGCTCAGACTGGCTTGGCAGTGCACAGAGATGACTTTACATAATTCCCTGCAGATGTTGCTGCAGAATGGTTTTAATAATGAATTGTGAAGTTGAGCTCAACTCCAGCATAGCGAGAGAACTCAAAATAAATGCCATGTTTTGGTCCATGCTTCAAAAGAAGTCTTCTAACAACATTTCTGTGATGCTCGGGGTTGGGCAGGGTGGCAGTGGAGGGACAAGGAGTTGTTTGCTCTATTAAAGCCATGACACTTTTGCAAGCAAAAGTCGCTCTGATTTGTCTGCAGCTCATGAGCCCTCTGAACTTATGTGGAAGAAAAAAGTGTGTGTGTGGTGGGACAACTCCCCTAATATATATGTGTGTATATGTATGTATTTTTAATGAGGGGCTTGCGCACAGGCAGGGCAAGCACCCTGCTATCTTCTGGACAGAGTGTTTTCTGGAGCCCGTGGTGGTCGTGTGTAGGCTGTGTTGTAGAGCAGCGTTTTGGCTATTTTCTGCTAAGGAGCTGGCAATTCCTGCACTATGCTGCAACCTCCTCTAGGGTTGAGGCTTTACAGGTAGCACAGTAATTCAGATTTCCAGCTCATTGGGACTGAACTGCCCCTGCAAGGTCTGCTCAGCCACCTTGAGACCTGCATGTTGCTCGTGAGCATCCCCTGCACTTCTGCTGGCAGGTTGTTGCTAGGATTTTTCAGGCCTCTCCAATGTCCAGGTTACCTATAGAAACTTCTTCTTTTTCTGCCTTGACTCCTCTCCTGTAGATGTCTTAACTGTATGAGCTGCATTAAAGCTCTTCTTCTGAGAAACAAGCTCAAAATGGTGAAGAGAATTTCAGTGCTGGCTGGGGCAGGCTTTTTCCAAGCCTAGACACGTGCTGCTGGTTTGGTTACAGCAGAGGGGTTTTGGTCTGCATTTTACCCTTGGATATAGCTTAAATAAAGTCTTCAGTGGGAAAAATGATTTGAGTCTGTGGCAAATAAGAGTTTTCAGTTTCGTGATGTTTTGAGGAATAGAAGCAGTTTTCAGCTTGCAATGTGCAGGCTATGCAACATGGAGGGATTGGTTGAGTCACTAGACTGTGTAACCTGCCTCAGGTATAACTTGGCCTTGAGAATTTACTCATCAGATTAGTCAGGTCTTGGTGTCAGTGCTGTGGCCTTCCAGGGGCTAAGAGGGCAGTGATATGGCAGGGGGGACACCTGCCTTTGCCCTGGGGCTAAGGGGCTGCTTTTTGACAGGGAGTTGTGTCTGAGCCCTGAGCCCGAACGCAAGAACTTGAGATCAGCTTTGAGACACTGGTGCATCTAAGGAATCTAACCCGTGGAAACAGGTTATGAACTGGGTTAGCACTGGGTACTGCAGAGGCTGGGATTCAGCCCTCCAAAGACATAGTTTTGCTATGGTTTGAGTGTATGGAAGTCTTTTGTGCAATAGTGTTTAATTTCTTTCTGGGGAAGAGTTTATATAAACTATTCCAGTCTAATTGGTCTCAGCTGAAAGCCAGCTTCTGACATTTTGTGCCTAATTATAAGTGTATGTTAAACTGTGTTTGCTACCCATGTTGATGCATTGCTGGTAAAATAAGGAACATCCATAAAGATGTGTTTTTGAAACGGTCTGGCAGATTGTGTGTGTTCACTGCTGTGGGCCTCATGGCAGGAGAATCCACCTCCTGCTGAGGAGGAATAACTAAATTTAAACTTTCCAACCATGAGCCTCGTGAAGCAAAGTTTCCAAATATGTTGGGCCAGAAAATGGAAAGCCATGTCTGAGTTTTGAGAGTAAATAAATAGTGCTACCTAGCAGCTGTGCTGCAGCTAGCAAGGGGGATCAGGATGTTGGGGCACATTTTCCTTCTAGGAGCCTGCAGGCAAGGAGGGTTTACAAATACTGCCCTTCTGCTAAAATCTTTCTGTGACAGAATTTGGGACAAACATGGGTGACTGGAAATGAACATGTGAGCACTGCTTCAGATGGTTCTTCCTTCTTTTGAGGAAGTGAACAGTATATGGAATAAACTATCATTAAACAATATTTTGTATTATATAGAAAGTAATTTGAATTTGGGGGCAGACTGAGAAATTACAGAAAATATGAGTGTTTTATCTGCTTGGCTTGTTGCTGTCTTTTCTCGTAGCTGTGTCCTGGCCTATGTGGAGCAGAGTCCAGTTTTTATTAAGAGCTGAAAGACACAGGCTGTGCTGAGTGGGTGACTTTACATGAGACCTAATGGAGATTCAGTAAATCACTGTAGCCAAATAAGCAGAGCGATGAGGGTAGTTATGACTGGGATGCCCTTAACCTAAACATGGTTCACCTATAGATTTGGGTATCCCACTGTAAATGTGACCTAAAAGATGTCTTGGTGGCAGCTGTTGGTCATTGTTAACACTTCTGTAGACATGGATAGAAACATGGATGTTAAGGTGCCTGCTTCTCAGCAGCATCCCACTGTTTGTGTTTTAGTGCTGTCTGAATGACTTTTCTTGCTTCTTCCCTTTGCAGGCTGGTGGTTTGTGAGCACAGCAGAGGAGCAGGGCTGGGTCCCTGCTACGTACCTGGAATCCCAAAATGGAACCAGAGATGACTCGGACATCAACACATCCAAAATTGGGGAAGGTATGGAAAGTTTTTTTTTTTTTTCTTATCCAGGGGAAATTGGTATTGGCCCACTCTTTCTCATATGAAAGGTTACTACTTTGAAAATCCTTATGGCTCCTGGTGGTTGCTGTTTGGTGCTGTAGATGGTTCTGGTATCTTTTATCAGTGAATACTCTGTTTCTGAAGAAACTGGGATGAGGTACCAAGGCCATGATCCATTTGTGACCAGCTTGGGCTGGCAGTGTAAGAAGTGGTTCAAAAGCCTAATAATGGTCATCTTAATGCACTTAATCAGAGATATCAAGCAAGTTTTACACAAGATCTTCACATTCCAAGCAGCATGTTCTTGTACCTCTTGTGTCCTGCCACTGGAGGAGAGAACTTGCCTGGCTTATTTGCAGGAATCACAGAAGTGAGAACTTTTGATTTGAATGTTATTTTTAGAGCCACAAGGCATCACAGAAGTTAAAGTTAAATCTTGCTTTAATGGTGGCATCTCATTGCAAATTTTTGGCTCATTACTTGAAGCTGTTTTGCTGTTGGCTATGGTCTTTGGTTGTGTGCAAAGGTGTAACTTTATTTGGCGTGATCTCATTCTACTAAAATAGATGTCATTTGACATGTATATGTGTTTAGCTGCACTGGTTTTTGTCTGAAGATGTTTAATTCTGGTTCCAGAACTGGAATAGTACGACCTTGCATTTTCCTCTCTTCTGTTATGAAAGTCTAACCACATCTTAATGGGATGCTCATGTAGCAACTGTGTACAAAGGACGCTTAGTATGATTTGCACAAGTCTAATGAATCTCTTGCTAAATTTCTAGGTGCTGTTGGTGTGAAACTTATGCAAAGCATATGTGGAAACAGAGCCAACCCTCCTTAGTACAGATAGGAGGTTGAGACTATCCTATTGGGGTGACTTGTCTGCTCACTAGGAAAGCACACAGGCAAAACAGCTTTGTGCTGGGCCCCAAGGGTGACATCTGTGGTTTATCCCAAACTTTGGCTCTGTAACTCATTTTTCCCTGCTCAAAGCCACTCACATCCTGGGTCACTTAGGGTTTAGAGACAGACTGACTGTGGACTGGTAGGCAGGGAGTCAGTCTGGTATGATGAAACGTCTTAGCAGATGCAAAAGCAGTTAGTGAAGTTCCCCTGTGTTAAAGACCAAAAACTTGCTCTAACCTTCCAGAAGAGTTCAAGGATGCCTTATCTGTTGGTTTGCAGCTTCCTCCTTTTTTTTGTTTTGTGGGTTTTTTTTGTTGTTGTTTGTTTGTTTCATTTTGTTTAAATATGGTGCATGTTTGGACGGCCTTATTGCTTAACCCACTCTAACTTCAAGCTTTCCTTCTTTTATGTTGCCCTCTGGAATTTACTTTGCACAGGGTTGTGGCAACACAGCACACAGTTCTGGGTAATGAAAAACCCATCAAATGTTTCTTATCTCTTCTGTGTCCCCTCTGATCCATTGAATTGCTGTCATCTGCTGTACTCAGCAGTTGCTTTCCCAGCCTTACTGCACATCCAGAGATGCTGAAACTTGAGAACTGCTTTGCTTTTAGCTCAGTGCCATTCCAGTGACAAATCTAACTGCATTACTTCTGCTGGTGCTTTGATGTGCCCTAGCTTCCACCTGGTTTTCAGTAACTTTGCTTTTATGCTGTTAAGCTCATAAACGGAGAGGTTTTGTTTTTGTTTCTTGCTTTCCCCCTTGTAGTTCTCCTGTATCTGAGCTATTCTTCTCCTTGCCACATAGTGGAATGGCCTCAGACTGGTATTAGGAGGAGGGAAGTGCTTCCATAAGAGGAGAACACAATATAAACTTTCTCTGAGAGAAGACAAATGAGTGAAGGTGAATGTAATAGCATATGGTGCAGCTGAGCTTATGCACACAGCTTACTCCTCAGGATGTAGGAGAAAGGGGCTTCAATATAACTGAGGAGGAAGGTACTTTAAGTGGATAAAGTACTCAGGCCATTGGATGCAGTGTTTATAAAGCTTTCCCAATGACTCCTGTTCTGCCTGCATCTGTGCCCTGCCTGCTTTGAAAGGACACCAGTGTAGGGAGCTTCCCATATGAGACTCTCAAGCCATTTGCAGAGGACTTAAAGCTTATTGCACCTTTCCACAGCTAAGCAGGCTGCTTGTATGGCCACACTTTGTATGGCGGGTCCTTGTAAAGACATGGAGATGTTAAAAGCGATTTATTCATAACGCTACCTATATGTAACACCAATTTCCATGTATCTATAGTTGTCCATTTCCCTGAGAAAGTCAAGTTTCCTCCCTCCACTTGAGCCTGCTGCTTGTTCCTGGGGCTGAGGGTGTGCAGATGACCACTACCTGCACCTGTGTTTAAAGCAACACCCTCTTATGAAGCTTGGAATCACTCCAAAAGTGATGTAAGGAAACACTTGCAGCCACAGGAGCTGCTAAAGCAAACATCTTAAAATGCTCCCTTGAAGGGATTAGACACTAATGGATAAATAACTCCTCTGACTAACTGTGGCATGACCAATGCAGCTTGGGTCTGGGATCAGGTAGCAAATTTCAGCATCAAGAGGGGGGAAAAACTAACTTGGGTCAAAAGACCTTCATGGTATGGAGAGGTTTTTGATGGGGGGAGTCATGTTGTTTTCAGAGAAGCCATACCTGTGGTGCAGCCAGATCTATGTGACCCGCGGGGAGAAACCTAAGTATGTTCAGAAGGATGCTCCTAAATGGCCAAATCCTCCCTATTCCCATCCCAAGTGAAGAGTTTTGAAAGATCCATCTCAGCTGAAACCTGTTAAATATATATTTATATATACACATACATACATATATATACACACATATATATTATTCCTCTCCACCTTCCTCAGGCCTTCCCCTGAGCCTTTCAGGTGACTGTCTTTCATCTGTCCCTTCTTTTGGGTAGCAACTTGCTAACAGTCCTGTCCTGTTTCTGCCTTGCTGTGAATTTAGCTTTAGCTTCTGTCTCTGCTATAATCATGTGTCTGCTGAAGTGCTCTGTTGCCTCTCATGTACCATATGTGTAATGGGTTTTCTGATGCCATGTTGGTTTGGGGAAAGTTACCAACAGACAGGAAACATACAGAAAGGAATGAAGAGGACTACTTTTGTGTGGGCTTTGTGTTGACATGGGCTTCTTAGCCCAAGAGGGTTGATATATTTCTGGTCAAAAGAACACAGTGATCTCCAAAAATCAGAAATCTGGAACTACAGCTCCTCTGAAAATCAGTCATGGTTCTCTACTGAATTAAAACTAAGGATTTTTTTAACTCATACCAGCCAAATGTAACTGGGCCCTCTAGCAAGGCTTGGAAACCAACTGCCCCTTTACTGCAGAGGTCTTCTAGCACAGAAATAGGGCTTGTAGCTCTGACCCCTTCAAGTTGGTTTGTTGCTTTTCTGTTTGTGTTTGTTCTAGCAACAGCTGTCAGAAGTGCAATGCAGTATCTTGCATTATTTATGGCAGCACTGAAACAGTCAAACTACTTTGGAAACCTCTGAGTAAAAGAGGAGTGTTTGACACTTCCAGCCCAAAGGTTACTGTCTTATTCACACCTTCACGAACAGAAGAAGGACCTAAAGGAGATTCACATCTGTGATCTGGAAAACAACTGGTGTCCTCTGTGCACAGCTACTCTGGCAGTATCTTTTGTATAAGTGTCTTGTCTTCATTTGTTTTAAGTACAAACTATTGTTTAAGTATGAAACATTCTCAGTTTTGTCATGTTAACTTCTTGAGCCTCTTCAGTAAAAGCAAGGTTAGTATTTTCTTTATATTGATAACCAATATATGAGAAGCGGAAGCTTGGATTGTGGGCATTAGCTGTGACAGGGATCCTGAGTCAAGCCTTGGAAATGCAGAGACAGACATTTCTCCCTTGGATTCAGTTTGAGTGTTGCCATTAAAAAAGAACCCACACAAGAGAAGGTGCTTTTTCTTATTATTCCTATGTTTTATTACTAGATTTGATTTTTAGTGCAATAATCTACTAGAGGGTTACAGCCCTGTTGTAATAGCCCTAGCTATTACGATCAAATGCATTCTCCAAAGATCCTGTGGTCTAAGTAGGAGATGCAACAACAATACTGGCCTGTCCTGCTGCTCCAGCATCCACAATCATGTTTTCCTTTAGTTGTACAGCTCTTTTTTGCTGTACATCTTTTTTTAGAAGATGATAGCAAGGATCAGCTTCTCAGGCTCAAGAATCTAACATGCTCCATCATATTATATAAACTAACCATGGTTTCTGCATCCCACCTAACCTGTTTCTGCTAACGACCAGTGCTTGTAATTGCCATATTTTGGTTTTATTCCTCACCCTTCCATCATTTTGTTTTGTTTTCTTTTTTTATGTTTCCATCCGTGTTCCAAACTAGTCTCTAAGCGACGCAAGGCTCACCTGAGGCGCCTGGACCGGCGATGGACGCTGGGCGGGATAGTCAACAGGCAGCAGAGTCGAGGTGAATAGCTTGCTATGCCATGGGGCCTGAGGGTGCAAGGGCTGAGCTGCTGCTTGCGTGTGCCAGGACAGCGTGGCTGCCTGCCTTGGGTTTTGGATCTTTGCCCTTCCCCCAGGGAGACCGAACTCTGGAGCCCAGGGTGTTGACTTGATGCTTCAAAGCTTGAGGGTGTCTTGGTTAGGCACCTAAAATGCTGAAGCCGTATAACAAAGTGTAATCCTGCAATCTGGCTCCTCGCACAGTTTGGGGATGCTCACATCTGTTGTGTTTTAACTTTTGGGCCCATCTGTACTCAGTCTTTCCTACCTCAATAAGAAGTGATACTTTTAGGGCCATTAAAATGAGAAGGATGCCAGAGAGCCATGGTCAGAGATGTGCATACTGGAAAAGTGCTTGATGTGGAAAGATGAGAATTGTTCCAGTTCTGTCTTTCTTATAAATAGTGCTTGATGCTAAAGAATGACTTCTTCAAAAGGTTTGGGAGTTTCTGATGTTTGTCCTAGATGTTTAAAATACTACTAATAGCAGCATCTTTTTGGCTTTGCTCATGTGATAGGTCTTATGAACTTATGGAGGAGGAAAAAAAAAAAACAACCTTTTGTTTCAAAGTTATATTTGGGTACACTTTGTGACTTATTTCAAACCAAGCGTTCTCCAGTGTATGCGATTCATCTTTCCAGGAGAAAAATACCTTTCTTTACCACCCTTCTTGCAGGGTTATGCAAACTTGGTGTGGATTGCACCTTTGTGTGTGTGTGTGGAGGGGGCGATGAGGGGAAAGGAAGGCTGAAAAGGAGTGTATATTTAAAGTTACAAATTTATGCTGTTCTTTGTGCAGATGCATGAAGGTAGCAAGCACATACAGCTTATTTTACACTTGCTCTTCAGAGTCTCAAGAGGTGGGAGGGTGGCGAACATAACCAGAGGTGCGTTCATGCTGCTCTGGCTTCACCCTGCACCTACCAGAACTATGCTGAGAAGACAAGGTCTCTTCTCAGCTGTAGAATACAGCCTGAAGGTGCCAAAATCCCAATGCAGACGATAAGCACACATGCTGGCTTGAGAAGAGCTTGTAGTGCTTGCTTCTCTATCCCAAGCTTTTGGGAACTAGTTATTTTGAATGTACAGCCCTTTATTGCATACTTCCTGGCAGTCTTACTAAGAAATTCAGGGAATAATAGTTGTCTAAACATTTGTTTTATTGGATTAAACAAATATTTCCTATTCATATCATATTATAAACAAAGCTTCATAAAATCTCCAGACTGTAGAATCTTCATTTAGACTGATAAGACTCAAGGACCTAAGTGCATTCCCTGTTCTTCCTTATCCAGAGTGATTAATTCCTGTAGTCTTATTCCCATTCTCTGTCCATATCATTTCCAGACCTCTCATTCTGGTCACGGTCTTCTCCACCACATGCTCCTCCTCTTCTGCCCTTCTCCATAACGATTTCTTCCCTATAAGCCCCAAGCAATGCAGGGTGTTTGACATGTTGGTGAGTGTGTGCTTTCTTAGACCAGACCTTAGCCCTTGAACTTGGTGCAGCCTGTAGCATCTCAAGGGGTAGAGACATCCTTTGTGGCTGAGCTGCTTGTATGAGCTTTCCTTACTGCCTTTAAGCCACAGTTAACCACACAAACAGTTCAATGCTAGCTGAAATAGGTTAGGGAGCTTGGTAGGAAGTGGAGTAACGCTGATTTGAGTGCTGTGGGACAGGCTGGAGATGGTAGCTTCGTCAGCAGCGTGTGCAGACATCTACCCCTCTAAAATGCAAGTGTAAGGAAAACTGTGAGTCTCTGGATGCCCAGGCTGCTGCTCTCTGACATATCACAGTTTATGTGAGGTCGGGAGGGATTCTCTACCTTCTTTCTCTCCCATCCCAGCCCAGCAGGCTTCTAACAAGGCCAAATTTGGGTGGATTTGCACAGAAATGACAGAACTCCTCCTGCCAACCTTCATGTCTCTGCTCCAAAGCACAGAACTAGGGCTATTCATGCAGGAGGCTGCCAGAATGTTTCACACAGGCGAAAGAGCTTCCCCTCCCCCTCTTGGCCTCTTTCTTGGAAATAGATTCAATTCAATGTTTTGGCTGAAATTCTTCCCACCCAGCGAAGTTCTGCTGGACATGGATTGAGCTCTAGGAAAGGCTACCTCCAAGAGTTTATTGGAGTTTAAAAGCAAGCTCTAGGGGATGCTCACCTCTGTGCTTGGGTACCAACCAGCTCTGAGACAGAATCTGTTAAAAAGGAGTTAAATATCAGCCTGAAGGCTAAGATTTCCCAACTGACTGCTAAGTCTTGACTGTCTTAACTTCTGTGCACACATCTTGCGCTGTTCCCTGTGCAGGTGCTTGGTTCCCCCTTCCTAAAGCAGGGTTTAAAGCAGTCTGGTGTGGCAGCTGGGATGCACCTTGCCTATGTCCTGTTTGTGGTGCAGCTCGAATGATGAGTCCTGCACCATGTGGGAGCAATGATGTATCTGTGTTTCTCAGTGGTATCTCCTGTGCTGTGACTCCGGCAGAGCTTGAGGAACTCAAAATGTGTGTTTGGATGATGAAAATACTGACAAAACCTGAGTGCAGAAGGGAAGGCTACCTAATGGTGGGGGAAGCATCAAGACAGAAGATAAAGCCACTTCACTGGCACAAGACTTTCTTTTCTTCATTTCCAAGGCCCCTTAAAAAGGCTAAATGTCCCAATGTTTCAGATATTTGGGAGCAATGTTATTGGGCTGTAAATGTGAAAGATGAACGTCAACTTGTTGAGTATCTAGGTAGTGGTGCTTTTAAAGCTGAAAAGATCTGCAGTGAGAACAGCTGCAGTCTGTTTTGACAAAGAGAAACAGATGACACTTGTTGCTGAACAGATGAATTTGTTGCTGCATTTCTCTTTAAAACTGTCCATGCTGTGCCCAGATCTAATATTACATTGGTTTGTTCCTTGTGTAGCTGCGGAGCTTGTGTTTTATTTCTTATTTTAATATTGCTTGTGGTAAATTTTTCTAAACTCTTGTCTATACATTATCAAACTCAAGTAATGGAAATATCAAGTAATGGAAATATTATAAGTCTTCATAGTTTCCTTCAGTACTGACCTTTGTCAGAGACTCTCAATCCATGCAGAGCTAATGTTCTCTGCACAGAGTAAAATGCTGTTTCTCCAAACATTTACTTGGGACTTCCCCTGGAAGAGGACTTAAGGTTGTTTACAGGCTAATTTCATGAGAAGTCATTTGTGCAATTACAGTTTGATTGGGCAAAGTGGAGGTTTACATGCTTGTTTTGTACGCCAGATATTGGACATAAATTGTTATTGCTGCTTTGGTTTCATGCCCAACAGCCTCAGTTGGAGCTGGGGTAAGGCAGGGAAGGATTTTGGATTTGCTTTTAGCAGCGATGCAGTAAAGCAGGAGCTGAAGTTCTGCCGAATGAGCCTGTTGTCGAAGAGGAGCAGCTAGCTCAAACAAAACCCTAACATAAAAGTAACGGGTCTTCCTCTCACTCATCCAACTGAAGGAGTGAGGGAACCTGCTGGGGAGAGTGATGGGAGCAGAGGGGAGGCAGCAGCATAGCCCAGTGCTCTGATCATTGGCCTTGAGCCCCATTTCCTAGTCTAGGCTGCTCTTTTTTTCCAGCTTTGGAAAGAGCTTGTTACCTAGGGCCGTGGTCTGCCCTGGCTGGTGTGTTTGTGTTACCCATTCCCATCCTCTGAGCACAGCACGCCCTGCATTACTTCACTGACAGGAGTTCTTGCTTTATGATTTTGTTTCCCTTGTCTTTGCAGCTTATGAAACATCTGCCACTTGCAGCATAAGGCTGCTTTGCGGTGCAAAATGCAGGCAACACAGAGCAGCTTTAGATTTGGGTTTTTTTCTCTGCTTCTTTTCCTTTATTCTCTCTATGCTGCAAGGAAATTAGTAAATCTTCACTTCTTGCTGCTTGAAGAAAGAGTATATACTGTCCAGAATAGTTGAAAAATGCCATTACCATCCTTTTCTATATGTTGACATTGCTTCTCCCGTGTTAAAATAATAATAAATAAAGCTTGTGTATGGGGTGGATGGGATGACCAAGGTTAGAGCTCTTGCCCAGAGAGGAACAGATGTGATAATGGTGGGTAGCCTTTTTTCTGTTGAACATTCAGACAAGTAAAAACAAAAGTCCATGTTGAATTAATGCCTTGCTTGCTGGAACAGGGAGACTTTTTCCAGAAGCAGGTTTGACAACGGTGGGTGGAGCAGAGGAGGGGGAGGCCAGCGCAGACTGCTGACTGCAAGGAAAGTATTTTGAAAGAAAATTCTTCTGTGGTTTGGAAGATGTGGGACTGGAGCTGTTGTGTTTTGCTGAGAAATCATTAATTGACTAATTTCTAGTCCAACTCCCCCCTTCTGCACCCTCCAGCTTTTCAAACAAGGCTCGGGGTCACAGCAAGTTGGGGGCACGTACAAACACCAGCTCAGCAAAGGAAACTCTTCCCTTATTTGGTTGGCTCCTAAAGTGCTGAAGATAACTTACTCCTTTATGGAGACAGAAAGGAGCAAGCCTCTAAAATATAGGTGAGGGAGGGCTATGTGAAACTGCTCAGACCTTGGGAGCAGAAATGTACGAGCTCTGGCCGTCTGCCTGGGAGTGATGAGGCCGATGAGGCAGGGCTGGAAGCGTGCGTGGTGTTTGAGCTGCCTAAATGCAAGGATCCCATCCTAACTAATTTACAGCCTAAACAAAATTAAGGGAATCTGTGCATCAAAGTAGCCTGGGCAAGTGGTTAATTTGGCTTGCACCCTATGGCTACCAAAAAGGTTGGGCTTTTTGGTTTTTTGCTTTTTAAAGTGATGTTTTGAGAGCTGTGAGTATTTGAGAGCTTCTGGTCCTTTGAGATCATGAAGGAGGGAGCTCTCCCCTCATATGATCGGATCACAGGAATTATATGAAGTTGAGTGGGGAGAGGGTTTGGAGAAGCAGGAAATGCAAGGGGCCGTAGCATGCAAGAGCACGCAGC